TACCCACTGGTTAGTTTCACCAAAGCAACTTGTATATATGCAACTAAATTTTTGAATTTGAGGGAAACTATCAAAGCTTGAATGAACTTGAGAGCAAACTTTGGAGAGGGAATGAAAATGTGTTCAAATGGGGTGAAGTCCCTTCTCCCGGCCGGTTGGCTTAAGTAGTGCACCCACAACGGTCAAAACCGACCTGTGGGGCCCACTAGCCGTTGCCTCAAAGGAAGAGGCAGCCGACCGTTGGCCTGGCCGGTTCGGCCGAACCCCTGGTGGGCCCAACCGGCCCCACTTCTGGCCATTGGATTCCAACGGACAGTGCGGTCGTGGCACAGTAAATTTTCATTGAAAATTTTATTTTGGTTTGCTCCGAAAAATTCATTTGAAAAATTTCCTCAAAATTCAAAAATCCTAAATGCAATTTTGAAATTCAAACATGTGGTGATGCACAAATTCAAATTGTTGAAAGCAAATATGCGGACACATACCAATTTACCTGTTGGCGAAGGTCGCGTCATTTAAAGTCCGACGTGCAAGACCGTACCTCCTTGCGTTTCAGTTGATGGATTTTCCACCCGTCTCCGGAGGTGGTAGAGCAGGCGTCTTTGGCTTTTCCTTCCACACCTTCTTTGATTTCGGTGTGGAAGATGGCTTCTTCTGAGCCGGCTGCTCTAACTTCTTGGCCGGTACAGGTGATTTTACCGGCGTCCTCCAATAACGGTTCCTAGGCATTGTTGTTTCCTTCTCTAGGAAGTTCTACATAAATTTCACCAGGCTGTCCGTCTTGGGTGGCTCCACTTCGACCTCTTGAATATTCTGCGGGTTTGGCCCGTACTTGACTCTGACCGTGGAGCATTGTTCCGTCCTCGGTTGAAACTCAAACTTTTCCTCCTTCCCGTTGATATGGAAACAGATACTCCCCGTTCCCACGTCAATGTTGGCTCCTGCGGTGCTAAGGAACGGACGCCCCAGAATGAGCGGCGTCTACTTCTCCATGTCCATGTCCAGCACCACAAAGTCAACCGGGATGAAGAAATCCCGTATCTTGACTGGCACATCGTCCACTATCCCTGCCGGGTAACGGACTGATGAGTTAGCCAGTTGAAGGCTCATTGGTGTTGGTGCCAACACCGTGAAGTTGAGTTTGTCGAAAACGTCTTTTGGCATGACGCTGACGCTGGCTCCAAGGTCGCATAAGGCCTTGCGACAAAGGTGACGGTTTTCAGGAACGAGTGGTTGAGGATCTTGGTCCAGATGGCAATGGAATACCACCACCGTTTAACAACTTCCAAGATCGGATTGACTACGCCGTGCAACATGCTTTGATCAATCAATCAGGAGTCTTAGTCAATACCTTAACAAACATGGTGAAGTCATTGGTTAATGGTATAATAGCTAAACATCAAGCCACAGGGCCCGTCTATTTACCAGGTGGTGTTTTCCCAAACTATAGGCCTTTGGTCACAGGCAATCAACAGGGTTCTTCCAATGTACCACCAGTTCAGCCAGCAGCATCAGTTTCAGCTCCTGCACCAACTGCACCATCATCAGCACAAAGGCAAATGACCAATCCTCGATTGTTGACTAGAGAACAGCCACAGCATGGTGGGCAAAATGTCAATCGGCTGACTCAGGAGCAGGTGGCTGCTATGTTCCTGCCAAATCCACCTACTGCCGATCCAGTACAGTCATTGCCGAATCAGTAAACACCACTGAGGCAACATACGGTTCAGCCGATTCAACAGCAAAACTTGCAACATGCATCGGCTAGGTTAAGAACACCTGATAATCAGCTAAGGCAGCATGTTGCTTGGGTATGTCTGTAACTATATACTCTACTGTTTGCATATGTACGTACCTTATATTGTATTTGTTGGTACGTACATCCATGGTATGTATATATAAATAAATAAAGATGCATGAGCCATGTGCTCGTGCACTTGTATTATATATAATCAATTGCCTGTTTAGTACGTATAAATCTTTGTATAGTTAAGCATACAAAAACACTAGCTAGTACCTATACTGCATATGCGATCTAGTAGATCAGTACGACACAAGTATATGGCCCTTGATTATGACTAGCCGATCCTTGCTGCCTACCCTAGCTACCTCAGTGCGATCGAGTTCACACCGAATACTGTTTCCAGATTATCATTAATATATTTTCTAATGGTGGGGATTAGTGTGGGGAAGGGATCGAGAAGGATACTTCTACACTACACAGTGGTCTGCTAATTAACCTACTGACATACTAGGCACAGACCTAACCTCCCCTGCACAAAGAGAGAATTAAGATAGCAGGGAAACTTTTTTTTGGAGGCTGTTCGTTCTGATTCAAGCCATCAATAGCTGCTCACATATGTTTGCTTTTTGGGGCATTTTTGTGTCCTGAATGAACATAGCTGCTTGAAGGGATTCCTAGGACACATTTGTTCTAAAAATTATCTATAAGCGCTCACGCGCTATTTTGCTTTTGGTCCGAATGATTCTCTCTATAGAATTTAAGAAAATTTAGTTGTTAGGCTTGCAGTTCTCTGAATTTTTCTGGTGTTGGTTCAACACCAGGTTGAATATATCATGCCTCTGCTCAACTTCTGGTATTTTTTATTATGGCTACTTCTATCACCTAGCAGTTTTCTGAAATGCCCAACTACCGTTCTCGTATAACAGTGCAAATGTCATGCAAACGGAAAAAGAAAGTCGGCTCGTTGTGCCAAAATTTGTCGACATTTGGCTTTTGCTTTATTCCTCTTTGCGGAAGATCGATGGTGTGCGTGCCATTGGAGTACAGATGAAATTTGTAGAAATTGGAATGGTCATGTACTATGTGAACAGGCACAAATTTTGAAATATATAGCAAATGTGCCACTGGAACAGATGAAATTGGTAGAAATTGGAATCGGTGATGTACTCATATGAACAGGTACAAAGGGAGTATTTTTCTAAACCCGAGAGCAATTACTCCGCATGTGACCACCGGTGTTGTTGTTGGTCACATCTCTATTTAGAGGTAGTGAGCGCGTCTAATAGCAAATAAGTTTGGTTCTAGCGGTAAAATGGTCACAACTCTCCTCAAACGCCTTGTCCTTATATCAGGCTTATGGGATCAAAAGATGAATGGAGGGTCCAAACACACCTAGAGAACCTCAAAAAGAAAATCTTGAAATTAAAAACAAAGAGAGAGAGAGAGGGTACAAGAATGAATGGAGAGTATTCATAACAAAACTGAACCCAACACTTGTGAAGCTCTCCTGATTACTAGCCAGCGATGCATGCAGGGAAAAGAAATTTTCCTACATATAGAGAGAGAAAGAGAGTATATATATCAAATTCTGACCATGTGCATATGTTAGTTACCCTCAATTCCCATCCTAGCAAGCATGGCCGGCTCCTCCTCTCTTGCATCGCCTCACTCACTGCTGCTACCACTCCTCCTTCTTTTCCTCCTCGTTGCCGCTGCCATAGGCAGCTACGACCCCAAGGCGTTCTGCTCCAAGACGACAGACATAGCATCGTGCCTTAGGGTGTTCCCGACACTCCCAGACATCGTCACCAAGGCGCAGGACAACAAAGAGTTGTACAAACGGCTGGTCCGCTACTGCTCTTTCAAGACCTACGAGGCCACGTCGCTCGCGGAATCCATGATTGCCACCACCACCGCTGCCGACCCCAAGATCAGCGCCCCCTTCTTCCCGCAGTGGAAAAGGGACGAGGCGATGACGACAAAAACACCTCCAGGCAAGTGCCTCCTGAGCTGCAACAAGACCATCGGCGAAGTTGACGCCATCCTAACCTGCGGACACACCTACATGGAAGACAGGCCCCCCATCATCCACCAGAACCTCACCGTCTTGTTCCATGGCGGCCACCCGCCGTCACTCTGCAAGAGTGGATGCCTTGACGGCTCGTCGTCAGAGGGTGAGGCCCTCCTCGCCACCAAGTTCAACTATATATGGAGCTTGTTGGATCTCATGAAAGCTGTCCTACCGGAATATCTTTCTGAGACTGGGACTGCGACGACGACGGTACCATCTCCCTACGTCGCTGCTGCGGCGGCCCCGGCGCCATGAGCAACTACAAGCATGCAGTCCCTTCGATTCGATCGACCAGACCACAACAGTGCAGTGCTCTTGGAATCCCTATATACACGCATATACTATGTATCTAAGAAATAATCAAGATTTCACAGAGAGCATTTAAGAATCATGTTTCACTAATTGTTGCAGTATATAGTAGCCCATTTAATTTCATCCATCAGTTAGTGTTCTAATTCTTACAGTGGAATTGGATGTTCACCCCTCAAGTACATACACATACTTGCTTCCCTATCACTCAAATAGTTACAAAATGTTCTGAAAAATAATTAAAGCATTTATACAGCAAGCATATATCATAACCAAACTTATGTTTTTTTTTTGGCATGTAAAGATTGAATTTAGTTTTTTAGGCATAATTGTATTCTTGCCTTTAATTACTTGCTGCAATTGTGATTTTTCCTTTGCTTTTTACGGTTTGTGGTTTTGCCCTCACTTGCTGCAATTGTGATATACCAAGATATCTAAAAGAACAATATCTATCTGGCAACCAAACAACTACAAATATTGTTCCTCAGTCTTTAGTTTAGGCAAAGCAAAAAGTTCACTTTTATGGAAATTAATATTGAGGATAGGTAGTTGTTCTAAAACATATAGAAAATATTTTCAGCTTGCTCTAAATTATGATCCATATAAAAATCAGTGTGTCATCCGCATACTGCACCTGTTTTATATAATCGTTAAGATGAGGTACTACTCCTGTTTTATATGATCGTTATGGGCTCAGAATAGGTGAATTAAAGGAAAATTGATTTACAAAATAGAAAAATAATGGTTCTACCACCTACATAAATCACATGCCTCCGACCACATGTTCTCAAAATCATTAGGTACCCCAAATATAATGAGAGGAAGAGCAACCAGTGGCCCACAACGGTGACGGTCTAACTTCTATGGTGAGCGGGCATGGAGCTGAGTTGGTGGTGCTATTGCACTGTGTGGTGGGGTGCATATAGCAAGATGGCAACGTGCATGCAGGTCGGGCCAGTATGGCTAGATGGGCAGGGTTAGTGAGGAGGAGCTTACGTCTCGGTAGCCAGAAGTAGGGGAGGGCTCCGCACATGTGCCACAGTTCGTGGGAGATGACGACATATATGGACCACTATTGTACGATCGAAACAAGACCAAACAAACCTACCAGAGGGGGTGAATGGTAGGGAAAACAAAAAAGGCAAAAACTTTTAGTGGAAATAAAAAGTTACCTTCAAATTGATGGAGATCTCGACATAGCCGATCTGACCGTTAGATTTATTCCGGTCTGACCACCCCCTCATCGCCAGTTGGACCGCCATCTGGGTTAGACCGCCGACTTGCCTCCGATTTAACCGTCAGATCCAGAAAAACATGTATCAACAAAACTCTTGAAAGTAGATCAATTTCATTGCATCAATATGTGTTTCAAAAGTGCATCTAAAGCACTCCTCTCTCAACTCACGAACTAGGATTGAAACCTCGAAGTAAACCCCAACTTTTCTCTCCCAAAAAGTCAATATCTTCTAGTCTCAACCCCTCATCTATTTATACCACAAAGCCCGCCGACTCAAAGTAGGTGTAGAGCTCCTATTTCCAATAGGACTCCATCCCTCAATTTCCATACGTTTTACAAGGGTTAATTCAATCCATGCCATTTTAAATAAATGTCATTACAATTCATCTATTCGTAACCATGCCACTAAAATTTTACAAAATTAGAACCATGCCACTAACGTCACATTTCCCATCCATCTCCTCATCTGCACGTGGGACCCACATGTCATTTCCATCTTCCTTCATCCTCCCATCTTTTTCCTTCCCATCTCTCTACACCTTGTTTCAAATGAGGCAACCAGTAGGGAGTGTGCGTTTCTATGTCACCGTCAGCAGCGTGACCATCTCCGGCATCTGTGGCTCCTAAAATTTCAGAACTCGGTTTCTTTTTCCTTTTCTATTTGCACCTGTTTTTTTTTTCACTCTATTTGCAGGCAGCAAGCAGCTGGCGAGCTCGGCAACCTTTGCTCGTCCCTGTCAGCCCAAACACTCACTCGCACACACACCTCTCTCTTTCTCACTTGATGAAATACACGCACAGAGATGATGAACTGACGGAGGAACAAGATGAACAGTACGCAAGGAATTTCCACGCTGCACACCAGCGCGCACAGCACAAACACTTGTTTTTCACTTCACTTTTGACACACTTTAACAAATGCTGATTACATTGGTTAAATAGAGCACACACACGCACAGGTTAAGCCACGTCTTGCCGCACAAACCGGCAAGCACCTCCCGTGGATTATCCTCTAATCACCTTCCTACATGCAAGGCACAACTCGCTGCATGCAGAGCACCACTAAATCACTAACACATGCATGAGCCATCTGATCCAGCCTTCTCGCCAAGAATCCATGCTTCACTTGCATGCAGATCATGGCCTCCCTGATCAAACTAAATCACACATACTATTGACCTGCTCACTGCTCAGTACACACATGGAAAGACTAACGTGGACACAAACCACTAATTAGCTAAACACGACTTGATAGGATGAAAAAACACAAACGACAAGATTAAGTCTAACAGTCCCTGCGATTAGAGCCAGCACCACGCGAGGCGGCCTGCGGCAGTGCGGCCAGGATAGCGTCACTGATCATGAGCAGACAAGCAACGACGAGCCGACGAGGATCCATGATAATGGCGGCGTCATACATGAGTGTTGGTACCGGAGCACCTGTTAGAAATATGCTCACTGCTGCTGCCACTCCGCCTCCGCCTCCGCCTCCTCCTCCTCCTCCTAGCCGCTGCAGTCAGTGGCGCCACCGGCAGCTACGATCCCAAGGCATTCTGCTCCAAGACGACAGACGTAGCGTCGTGCCTCAGGGTGTACCCAACACTCCCGGACGACGTCGCCAAGTCGCAGGATAACGAGCAGCTCTACACACGGCTGTACGACTACTGTGGAGTCAAGATCTACGAGGCCTCATCGCTCGCAGAATCCATGATTGCAACCACCACCGCCGCCGACCCCGTGATCATCGCCACCTTCTTCCCGCAGTGGAAAGGGGACGAGGCGATAACGACAAAAACACATCCCGGCAAGTGCCTCTTGAGCTGCAACAAGACCATCGGCGACGTTGACGCCATCCAGACCTGCGGAAACACCTACATGGAAGACAGGCCCCCTATGATCCACCAGAATCTCACCGTCTTGTTCCACGGCGGCCACCCGCTGCCGCTCTGCAAGAGTGGATGCTCGGAGAGGTCGTCTTCGGAGGGCGAGGCCATCCTCGCCACAAAGTTCAAGTATATATGGACCTTGTTGGATCTCCTGGAAGCTGTCCTCCCGGAATATCTTTCTGAGACTGCCACCGGTGCTAAACATAAGACGACGACACCATCTCCCGCTGCAGCGTCCACGGCGCCATGAGCAGCTAGATATCTACGTGCAGCATCTAATTCATTCGCTTTGATCGACCACACCACACAGTGCAGTGCACATGGAATCCATATATACACTAGCTACACGCATATATATGCTATGCTATGTATCTAATTAAGAAATAATTAAGACTTCACACAGAGCATTTAAAATTCAAGTTTCACTAATTTTTGCAGTATATATATAGTAGCCCATTTAATTTGATCCATCGGTTAGAGTCTCACTGTATTACTGTCTGTTTTGCATGTGTCTTTTATTCTGTCCAAAATAGTGTTCTAATCCTTACAAATGGAATTGGATTTTTCACCACACAAGTGCATATACACGTGCTTGCTTCCTTATCACTCAAATAGTTACAAAATGTTCTGAAAAATAATTGCAGCATTTATACAGCAAGCATCTATCATAACCAAATTTATGTTTTTTTTTAGCATGTGTTTGAATTTAGTTTTTAGGCATAATTGTATTCTTGCCTTTACTTGCTGCAATTATGATTTTGCCTTTGCTTTTTACGGTTTGTGATTTTGCCCTCACTTGCTGCAATTGTTGTATACCAAGATATCTAAAAGGACAATACCTATCTGGCAACCAAACAACTACAAATATTGTTCCTCGGAGTCTTTAGTCTAGGCAAAGCAAAAAGTTCACTATCATGGAAATTAATATTGAGGATAGGTAGTTGTTCTAAAACATATAGCAAATATTTTCATAAAAATCAATGTGTCATCCGCATACTGCAAGATAAATAGACCATCATCAATAAGATGTGGTACTACTCCTGTTTGATATTATCGTTATGGGCTCGGAGTTGGTAAATTGAAGGAAAATTGATTTAGAAAATAGAAAAAATGGTTCTACCACCTAAAATACATCACATGCCTCCAACCACCTGTTCACTAAATCATTCTCTACCCCGGCCCAAACATAACGAGAGGAAGAGCAGGCTGTGGCCCACGACAGTGATGGTCTAACTTCTACGGTGAGCAGGCATGGAGCTGAGAGCTGGTGATGCTAGTGCACTGTGTGGTGGGGTTGTTAACGACCAAATTTGGTAAGTCATGAACCAGGTTCGGCATTGGAATCGAAGTGGATTCAGCAGAGGATTGTGTTCGAAGAACAGAGTGCGCATCGGCTGCGGAGGCATCGGCTGAAGTCTGCATCGGCTGAGTTGCATCGGACAGAGGACAGCCGATTCCATTAAGATGGTTGTAAAGCCGTTTCTGGAATCGATCAATGTGCTACACAAGGATTATCACGATGGAGATATGTTCTCAGATAGGCAATTGTATCTATTATTTAGGATATTTTGAATAGTTTCCTTAGAGATATGTTTGGGTAAAAGTCTGTCGTAAAGACTTATGTATGTCTTAGAGTTTGTTAGAGATAATAGTCGTGTCCGGCAAGGACCTATTATATGTATCTCGGGTATAAATATAACCCGACCCCATGTAATTTACAACAACAATTCAATAATACTTTCGGCGCATCGCCACCCTTTTTACTTTCATTTATTTCGACGAGTTCTTGCTTTCGGGTTGAGCTGTATCGATTTCGATCTTCAACAGGAGGTAAACTTGTCATGGCGGTTAGCGTTCTCGGGATTAGTGCTTCCATCTTTATGACACTCTAATCTTGTTTATGTAATTCGTCGAGTTATCATATATGCTCCATAATCTTTGTTAGTTGCGCCATCTAACCCGCAATCGGTTGGTTTTTATTGTTAGAGAGTAGTCGATAGAGTTAGATCTTGTTATTAATCTAAATTATATAGCATATCCACCATCTCTTAGAGGTTTTCATCAACTGGTCTAGATCTTTATTAATCTAAATCTGTATGCTTAATGCTGCATCGGTTGAGTTCGATCTATTAAGTATTGTCTATAATTATAATATCTAGCTTGTTTTATGACGATCGATAGAGATAGTATCGGGGTTTTAGCCGATCTTACCTGATTTAGCTATTTTATACCTTATATGCTTGATTATTATGCTAAATCATCCCTTTATATTAAGATCTTATCGCATTAGAGTATATTAGGCTTTATGTTTAATATATTTTATCTGTTTTAATATCTTAATATAGAGTGGTATCAGAGTATTTGCCGATACATGCTAGATCTATTTGATCGGCTATGCTATAAGCGTTTATATAATCCTTACTTTAATGCATCTTTAGACTTAAGTTTATACTGTCTCGACATGCTGTTCGATCTATCCTAAGCACTTAGTTTAAATATACATCGAGAGAAAGATTATATATCGTTGATATCTACAGCCGATCGGGTAGATTTAGTTTTATATTGCTTTATTCTTTGTTGCCGATCTATTGCCAATATCATCGGCTCAACGATTGACGATATGTCATCGGCTCCTAGCCGATCGGCTATCGTTTATGGATTTAACCTCGTTTTCTTGTTTTTTTTCTTCTTGTTGATTGTGGGATCAAATCAACTGGCACGCTCACGAACCTAAAAGCAAGATTTTGGACCTGCACAGGAGTTAAGCAGATCTTTTGGGCCAGTGTGTGTTTTTCACATCAACAGGGGTGCATATGACAAGATGGCAAGGTGCACGCAGGCCGGGCCAATATGGCTAGATGGGCAGGGTTGATGATGGGGGGCCTATATATGTGGCTCGGTAGCCAGAAGTAAGGGAGGGCTCCGTACATGCGCCACCGTTTGTGGGAGACAACAACATATATGGGCCACTATAGCGAAGGCCTCCAGACACTATTGTAAAAACCCTCATTAGTGTGGGTTCCCTAAAAAGCACTACTCTTTGAGCACCGATGAGGGAGGTGGCATTAGTGTCGGATTAGGAACCAGCACTAACGTGCTTCTACAAAGCACAAAAAATGGGAGGACGGTTCAAAGAATCAGCATACACATAACCAATCCCCATTCAAGAACAATAGCACCAGATCAGACTCACTGCCGCCATCCTAGCAGAGCCACCCGACATTGTCGTCAATCTCCTTCGCTGCGATCATCCTCATTGAGCCTACTTACCGCCGTCTCTTTGTAACGGGAACATGTCCAGATCAGGAGTAGGAGTCCTCCGGTGCTACCTTTCCCTTCTTCTTGCTGGCATCGTCTTTCTCCTCCACCCTTCTCCCCGCCTGCCATCTTCTCCTGTCTTCCCAGCCTCTCTGTCAAGCCACTCAATCTGGACTCGCCGGCCTCCCGGACAAGCCGCTCAATCTAGAAAGAGGGGGCACGCAATAGCAGGCTGGAAAGGGAAAAGATGAGACAAGAAGTGAGAGGCAAGGGCGGGCCTAGGATTTAGACGTTGGGCATTCGAAATAGGTAGGGGTAAAACAAAATTCTTTTTAGCTCCAGAAGTCTAATAATTGATTGGTATAATATCACACATTACTATTTGTATAATATTATAGCATATAGAACACAAAATTGGCCAGAACTTTATAAATTGGTAGAATTGATCATAAGTCCAAATTCTCTAACATATAGAAGTGCTGATTGTTCGACATATGAAAGGGGCAACATCGGTGTAATTTAGTTACTAAGAGACAATGTTGAGAACCATCAGTGTAATAGTAACTTGGTTACTACGAGAAATTTTATGGCAAGATCAATATGTTGTGTTGAGAACCATCGGTGTAATAGTAATTTATTTACTAAGAGGAATCTCGTGGCGATAACAATACGTTAATTCTAAGTAATTTACTTACTAAGAAGGTATACGAACCAATTGGGAATACTAATATCCTAAGTAATTTATTTACTAAGAGAAGAGCTCACAACTACATGAGAGCAATTCATTTACTGAGAAAAGGAACCAAATTGAGAAGGCTGAAAACAACTGAGAGTAATCCATTTACTGAGAGAAGAAATAAATTTGGGAGTGCGGGAGTGTTAGTAACTTGTTTACTCATACACTGATAGACTCAGTAATCTTGTTACTAATGGGCCAATCCGAAAGAAGTGTGGAAGGAAAGAAAAAAAAGTGTGGGCTATTTTCTGCGGGATTGATAGTGTGGGGAACTTTTTGATAGTAACTTGTTCACTTATCGAACTAAAACCATTGATAGTAATTGATTTACTTAACGATTTTTTTTTGGAGAGGGAGTAATGGGGGAGTTTGTGCGGGATGGATGGGGGTGGGGGGTTGCCGGGGGGGGCTAGGGTGGGGGTGGGGGAGGGGATGCTGTGAGGGGACTAGTTTAGTTATAGCGCACCCTGGGTGCGGTTTAGCGCATCCATATATGATAAAAGTAACTTACATATATAATAAAAGTAGTTTACAACACAGATATTTCTTTTATCAAAATATAGTCACGTAAGATCTTGTTGTAAAGATTTAATTGCAATGAACACAATGGTGTAATCGGATTATAGATCGGATAAGTAATTTAAATGAAAATTCTATAAGAAGAAAAAGAAAGGACATTTATAATTTGGTGTACTAGTAGGTGTTAACAGTGAAATTTGGTAAGCCCCAAAGTCATCATCGCTCTAGAGTCAGTATTAGCTTCAGAGTCCTAGAATCAGCTGATTGGAAGTCACCAATAGTCGGATTCTTAGTAAATTTAGTTAAGGAAATTAATCTATTAAAGAAAGTTTATCCAGAAGTGACCAAGTTCAAGCAGGATACGGCATGGCAGTTTATCTATTAATTAGAAAGAGTTTGCTAGTTTATTTTATATTTAGGAAAGTGTGTTTAGTGTCCGAGAAGGACTTTATGTTTTTCCTTTTATCTTTAGGAAAGTTTCTTTCTTATTCAAGAAGGACTAGTATCTACCCATGGGTATAAATATGTACACCGAGGTCATTGTAAACTATCTCATAGATCAATACAACTACTCTCGGCGCATTGCCACCCTATTTCCTAAGATTTTTACTTATCACGGCAGAACTTGACACCTGACACGGGACTGCATCGGCTTTTGATCTCCAGCGAAAGGGTAAGTCCAATGTTCTGCCTGCCCTGGAAATTGTATTGGCTGCATTGGCGTCGTTCAAGGCTGCATCGCTTCAACCTCTTGGGTTGCTCTGGTTTGGTTCATATATTTTCCTACCTATTTATCATATATTTTTTAATGAATTGATACTACTATTATTAATGATTACTTTTTATGAAGAGGAACTGATGTGTTGGCATCAATACCAGTTCTTGCTTACAATGGGTGCGAGCGAGGGGTGTTGGTAGGAAACCCCTTATAATTAGCATCGGGTTTTCCTCAACCATCAATGATAGGGTAGTGTGATTGTGTTGTTCTTACTACTAGGCTAATATGTGGCTGTTAATACATTAGTGACCAGAAAACTGTGTCATCCTTCCTAAATCGTCACTTCAAAAAAAACTGTCAAATGACCACATATCTGGTTATTAACTTCATATTTGCCAATATATATTTTTAGGGGAACATTTGCCAATATATAAGAGAATCAAAAGCCGCTACATATTATTAGTGCAAGTCAATATATAGAAATCATTCTCCCCATAGAAATAGTTACAATGTGCACATCTTAAAAATAACGATCTCAGTTATTTCAACAACATAGGAGTATATAACAATAATACCCACACTGGTATGATAAAAATTCCTATTCCTCGATTGGAGGTGGGAACAGACACATGCGCACCCGTCAAAATAAATAAAAAAACAGTTGTAAGGAAGTATTTGGGTTGCTAACCTAGAAAGATTTATTTGATAGGTAAATTCTGGTAGTAGGATGGCAAATCAAAATGTCCAACATATAGAATGTATCCAGGGGCGGATCCAACGTGGGTGCTAGGGGGACTCGAGTCCCCCCTATCCCGCTGGACCACCATTGGTAGAAGGGGAAATGAAAGGGGGAAAAATAGAGAGAAAATGAAAAGTAGAGAGGACTGAACAAGGAAGAAAGAGATCACGAGTCCTCCCCTTAAATCTTGTTATGGATCCGCCCCTTAATGTATCTAGGACTTTGTGCCTAGGATCTGCGTGATGAGGTCGTGTGCGACACCCAACATCTTCCAGGCTTGGTGGAACTTGTCGGCGATAGTGACCTCTTCCATATCGCACGACCGGATGGGGCACGCGCTCATGCAGATGGGCGGTTGTTTAAGAAAGCCCACGAGAAAACCGTCCAAGTCCCTGTACTTTTTGTTGACGTCGGCGGAGGCAGAGAAGAAGGCGGCGAGGGCGTTGGAGAGGGTGTCGACGCTGGCGGTGCACTGCTGGAGGCACACGGGTGGCACGCCCTTCCCCTTCATGGTGGCTAGCAGCTTGGTAGCCATCGCCTTGGCCTCCGTCGTCTGGTTGGCGATTGCCCGCAGGTACAGCTCCGCGAGAGGGCCCACCGTCGTCGCCTTCCGGGCCTCCGGGATGCCCGACAACAACTCCACGCACGCCTTCTTGTCTCCTGTACGCGAGCATGGCCCCACGATGCTCGCCGGGGCATCACCTGCTTCTTGCGCCGCCACCCACCCGCCCACCACCAGGAGTAGTACTAACAGGCCGACGGCCGCCATTTGCTACGTACTCCCTGCGATCGAGCTGTGAGCTCCTCATTGCGTTATGCTTATGCATATATAACACAATGAATCAATGGGTTAATTAGTGGGGATCGATCAGGAGGCAAGCAACTACTCCTGCTACCTTATTTCTCGCTGCATCTGCATGCATGCATGAATGGTTCTCTCTATAGCTAACACTTAACAGCACGCACGTACGCGTATGCATGCATTTGACCAACAAGTTTTGCATCCATGGTCGCCCATAGTTTTGTCGTCCATTCATTTCCTTTCCTTTCTCATCGTCTTGTCCTTTTTAAACATTGGTTGTAATAGCTTTTAGCCTGGCCACTGATTAGCCTAAACCAAGCCTTCTATGCATAGTTCCAGGCCAAGTGTCGTTTCACCCGATCGATCATATATAAGCTTTCATTGTAGTATGTAGTTTGACCGCACAAAGCGGTATTCTTGGTTTCCTTCTCAGCAAAGTATGGATACACTAATATGCGTTGAAAATAATTAATATCAGTAATTAATTAGCCTATCAGGACCAAATGCACTTTAAGGAGAATTGTTTTCAATCTATTTGGTGGAACCTTTTTGAAGCAATTTTGTACAGGAGATTATATTGCATAAACTTATGGGTATAAACTGGGTGAGTAGCTCTAGCTAGGGATTGTACCTTCGGTGTTAAAATCAGTGTATGTTGTTTGGTTGCTTGCATGAAAACATATTGGAGGTTACAGATTTTGTTTGATTGTTGCATGAAGCTGAGTTTGGTTACCTTCTTTTCTTGAAGGTGAGATTATACCTCCTTTCATTTTCATAATTAAGACATGTGCAGGCAACCAAACGATCCATCTAATCCTTTTAGTATTAATTACTCTTCCATGTGATGCTCTTGCCTTAAAAGAGAGAGGAACTAGTGGATAAAAGGGAGGTTGAAAAACGCCCCTCTATCATATCTATACAAATAGAATAGTCCATTTATACAGAATGGTAAAGAGGGCTTTTCTCTACGATCATCAATTCCAGAAATCCATACAAATACGAAGGGTATTTTATCCTTATCAACTGGATCTTCTTGCACCCGGTAACAAATATACATAAACCATTTCTTGAAGTACGTGTCCAGATAGCCCAAAGTCTCGATAGTTAGCTCTAGGTTTTCTGGTCAAAAAAAATAACGTCGATGAAGATGTGTCGGTGCACTATTACGTCACAGGGATTGCAATTTTTCTCGCATTTTCTAATTTTCACTCAAACTCAAGGGCAAACTTTGCTTCATGTTTTTATGTCCTGCCTTCAACCATTCCTGACGTGAAAGCGCTGCTTGTACATGACTTCCTATCTAAAGATGCCAGCTCCTCTGTTATTTTGCTTCGGTTAGCTCTCTTTTCGAAGGGTGAAAGCAAAGTTGTTTCAAATAGAAGATTTGGTATGGAAGACAATTTTGCCTTTGGGTTCTCGATCTAAGGAGTTTGATAGGTAGTCACCTAGTTGGGAAGGTCCTTACCGAGTGTGCAGGATTGTTCGAGGAAATGCATATTTTTTTGGAGACACTTTAAGGAAAGCGTTTTCAGATAACAATCAATAGGAAATACTTGAAGAAATACTTTCCATGCGTTTGGCAAGATGCTTAGGAGGTCCTATGGTCGGTAAATGGATTATCGCCCTAAGACAGCATGTTCTATGTTTTTAGATTCACAATGTTCATCAAAAAGGCAGGGGGGGCATATGTTTACACCCAAATTTGCCATCTAGGATCGAAATAGGGAAATTTGCCAAGATTTGGGAAATCTGTCGGTTTCCTCCATAGGGTAGGTTTGACCGCCGTACAAGGGACGGTTAGACAGCAGCCTGAGAGCCGGTCAGACTGGCGGCATGTGGCCGGCCAAACCGACGGAGTCCAAGACAAACTCTGTTTTCGTCGGGTCTCAGGAGGCTGTTTCGGGTTTCCTTTTATTTCTACCCCGAGTTGGACGTGGAAGAGGTCCTGTAGGAGGCAAAACCAATCCCTATATAAGGGATAAGGCCGGTTCAAACAATGTATTCACAATCTACACAATCAATTGAATTTTCTTTTTCAATATTACTTCTACTTTTTTTATATAGCTCTACTTTAGTTCATCCATCTTTATCGATTTGCGCCATAAATCGTCCGCCTTCGCTGTGAGAGTGCAAAATCCTTTGTAGGTTTGTCCTGTAAACCTTCCGTTTGCCCTCGAGACAGGTAGTTATCCATTGTTCTATCTAAATCGGCTTCGCTAGCCGGTTTAATCTATCAAAACCCATCTTGGTTTAGCTTTTTGCTGGATTGAGGTGGTTGGTGATTCTATATCACCGCAAGGTATTTAGGTATTGCGATCATGATTGTCTTCTTGCTAAAAAAGTTGCCAACATTGTCTAGATAGCCCAAAGTCTCGATAGTTAACTCTAGGTCTTCTGGTAAAAAAACAATATCGATAAAAGCGTGTCGGTGCACTATTACGTCACAGGGATTGGAATTTTTCTCGCATTTTCGTTTTTTCACTCAAACTCAAAGGGTAAACTTTGCTTCATGTTTTTATGTCTTGACTTCAACCATTCCTGACGTGAAAGCGCTGCTTGTACATGACTTCCTATCTAAAGATGCCAGTTCCTCTGGTTTTTTGCTTCGGTTAGCTCTCTTTTCAAATTTTTGATTTACTTTCGCACCAAACCAAAAACCTCTGTTCTTTTCATCGTGCAATTTCATTAAAATCTCCAGCACAGAGCCATGGTAGATTATTTTGCAGTCTTAGTGCCACAGGGCCACCCACGACTTGCCTCTAGATCAGTTCTAGGTTCTCCATAAAAGCCATAGAAATGCTTATACTGTGGTACAAATTTTGAATTCTACAACGCTTATATTTTTGAACGGGGTGAGTATAATATTGGCACAAGAGCAATGTATAAACAATTAAATCCATGGAACACGTAGTTGGTTGGTGGTCGGGTTGGACATGAGACGGATTGGAACTATATACTATCGATATTGATTAGCCATTGCACCTGTTAAAAAGTGTATCTATATGTGTAGGGCTATGTATGTATGTACAAGGGAAAACTAGCCTCTAATGCCTATAATGCCTTCTGGTCCAGTCGCTCGTTCCAGTTCAGGCACCTGATCAAGCTGCGGAACCAGTCACCAGTTTGGTCAGATTTATTAACTGTTGGGAGCGGGTGCTGACTCATGGATATTTGAACAGAGTCTCCCCTTGATAATTGCTGCCTCCTTTTGCCATCAAATGATACCCAGGCGTTACTTCTTGCATCATCTGGAATCTGTGGAAGTTGCAAGTTCCAAAACAGTGTACTAGTTAGCTAACCAAAAGGCAAACTGATGAGGTATAGCTAACCAGTGGAATAATCATAGTTAAGGTGGTAATAAGGTTGCATGAAAATGATAAGACATTTCATCCATTGTTGAATGCCATTTGTTCCGTACCTTCAATTCAAGACGAGCAGAATCAGGAAGGATGACAGGTCTAAATGATAGCGAGTGCGGGCAGATTGGAGTAAACAGCATACACGGGACATTTGGATGGACCTAGACAACAAAAAACCAATGATCATAGTGAACAACTATTCGGTTCAATTGGTACATGTAGCATGCATTTGAAAAGGAACAGTTCACTGGCAGATATGAAGAGGCTAACAAACATGCGTCATGTGATTCCATATTGCATAGCGCTCATAGTATATTGAACACAACGCATTTGAATGAAACAAGAACACATGACCACCATAGAAGCACACAATCAACCCCATCATTTCTCATTGTTTAGCTTTCAAATACCAAACTGGATTTCGCAGAGCATAAAAAATGAAAACTATCTTCAGTGCAAGAACCAGATTCAATGTTATATATTTCTGATGACAGTTAAGAAGAAACTGATATTTAGCTCATACGTGATGGAGATTGGATGTTACTATTGTTATTAAAGTAAATGCTGATTAGGAATGTTTCTTTTGAAGCTTAGCAAAAAGGTTTCATGAATCACTAGCAAGCATGACTAGCCTTTTCAGATGTTCCTCTTGAATATGTACAGTATGCATTACTAGAGAGAAGTTCTATTTATACAACAAAAAATGTGTATTTTCATGTAAAAATGTTTGGCATGTGTTTCATCAATGGGAGATATCAAATATCTATTTATAACATGGAGTGAAAAGATATATAACAAATAGGTGTGATTCAATAACACTGCACAATGCTTTTTCCATGGACATTTATAGACATTTTTGTTTCATGATTTTTGTTTCATGGGCATTTATCACTTCACATGGGTTGATTTAGTGTTTCCCAGGATTTATACTTGTAAGAATTAACCTACCATTGAGCCTCCTGCTGCAGTAGAGTATGCTGTACTGCCAGTCGGTGTTGCTACTATCACCCCATCACCTTGAACCTAGAAATATTTTCCATCAGATTAAAAAAAAAAAGTTTTGAGTAAGTAGCTAAAATAATATCAACAAAAATCCTGAATTTATAAATAAATGCTAGAATAGAACAACAATTATATAATCTCCAAGATTATGAGAGTGAAGCAGGCAGACTTAACTGCTCAAGTGTGTCTACATTAGTATTTAATAATTAGTTGCCACAAACGCTTGGTTCATGCAATCAAGTGACAGGAGTTGTCTCCCTAAGTGAAACATTGGATCTCATTAACGAATGTGGTGAAGGACAAATTCATCTTGGAGAAATATGAACTTAATATATGTTTTTATCATACAAACAGTGTAAAACAAAGTGGTTGTGACTTTTCTATTTCAATGCAGCTGCTGCCTAAACATTGTCAAGCATAATACAATTGGGAAAAGGGCCTAGCTTCATGACTCCAACCATTAAATCTCCAAACAGAAATAACAGAAAGAAAAACACCATGATGAACACAGCCACTAAGCAAAAATATGCTAAGAGAAATGTATTTCTCTAATAACTTCTGAATCTTACCTTTGTGATTAAATGGTTATGCTCATAGCATTCAATTTTGGACAGGTAAGGATTAGAACCCCGATC